AGATACATTGTCAGGACTGGAAGATAAACTTCAGAGCTTATATTGCACTTTCAAAAATGTTTCACTGGTTTTAACTGCCAAGCCAGCATTTTAGAACATAACCTTTCACGTATATAAATCACTAGTTACATTAACTATCAAGAAATATTAAAAAGACAACAAGCCACTCAGAAGTTGACACATTATGCATACTTAATGTTTGTTGAATCAATTAATAAATAACAATGGATGGGTGAGTGAACACTGGTGTTGCAATTTAAAAAAAATTAGCTTTTCAAGTATATTTTCTTTTTGAAGCAAAATTAATTTTCAAATTTCAAATTTAAATGACAGTTTGTTTCAATTGGAAGAAAAAGAATGCTAAACTAAAGGTGACATGAGAACAGGAATTCAGTCTCTCTTGCTCTGCCAGAGAGAATGAGGTGGGCAGCCCCAGGCTTGTTCCCTCAGCAGCACGATGAAGGAAGGAGGATACAAGTTCTTTCCCTCCTCCTTGGTTGCCATCAGCATATGTTTGTTCATCCTTAGGATTGGCCATTCATGGCTGCAAAGCAGCTGCTGTCATTTCAGACATCACATCCTAGCCAAGTGTGTGTAAAGGCAAGACAAAGGGAGTCTCTTCTGAAGAGCTTCTTGCTGTCATAGAGAATGTGCCAGAACCCTCTCCTAGCACACTTACTCATCTCATTTACTGGGTGAGTCACAAGCTCATCCCTAAACATCACTCACATGATGGCATACAGGTCCACCACGACTGCTTTAGAAAAATGATGATTAATCAACGAGTGAACCTGCCCACCTTCCCTGAACACACTGCTGCTTATATCTGTGCAGGGCAGAGTCGGGGATGGGTGTGGGGATGGCGGGTGTGCCACCAACCAACCTTGTACTAGTTATAAAATTTTCAAGAATTTTCAGAAAAGGTGATGTTTTAATAATTGTGACTTTCCATATTTTAGGACATGGTAAAGATTATTATTGGAGAACAACTATTCCTTTGTTAGAGAACCTTTCTGTTCACTTCTTGAGAGTATGAGGAACAGAGGGACTTGAGTGCTAGGGCCAGGGAGATGGGAAAAGAGAGTCTCCTGAGGTGGAGCAGGCCCTGCCAGGTCGCAGGAAAAAGGAACATGTAGAGCCTCTGAAGGCAGGGATGTATGACCTTGGCTTTCAAGTTTTCCATTTTACATGGCCATGCCCTTATAATAGGTGGCTTCAAGAACCTGATAAATCTTGTCAAATACATCCTTCTGTCAACTTTTCATTAACAATACCTTATGTAAGAAAAGGGAGTACAGGAGGAAGAGCTGAAAAAGCAATTGCAGAATAGCGAGAAGCAATGAGTCCAGAAAAGACAAAGACTTAGACCCAGAGGGCAGATTAGTGTTTGCCAGGTGCAGGTACAATGGGGAAAATGGATAATGACTCCTAATAGGAACAAGATCTCTTTAGGGGATGATGGAAATGTTCTGCAACTAGATGGTGACAATGGTAGCACAGTTGTGTAAATATACTAAACATATTAAAGACTAATGAGCACTTAAAATGAGGGAATTTATGGCAAGTAAATTATATTCTAATAAAGCTGTTGTTTTCAATTGACCAGCATAGGAGTCACAGCAGGAAGTAATTAGCAACACACAGCATGAAGGGTGAATCCTCAGAACTACTAGTAAAGGTCTGTACTCCCAAAGGCTGTAGAAGGAGAAAGAGTTAAATTATTTTATTTGAATATTAGAGGAGAGATTAACCCAAAAGCCTGGAGAGCTTGAGGGTACTTGGTATATAGTACTTTATAATACTACAAACAATAATAATTAAATAAATATAATAAAGGGTCCTTTATAATAGTAATTCACCCCCTTCCTCTACTCTGCTTTTCATGGTACCTCAACTGCTGTCTCCATCCCTTAGTGCTCACAAACAGAACTATGCACACACACACACACACACACAGCTTGCTTCTGAGGACATAAAGTATTAGCCAGGATTGGCTCACTGATTTGCAGGATTAATAAATACTGGAAATGCCTACCTTTGCTCCCACAATCTCCAGCTTTATGATATCAGAGGAAAGGCATCTCATGAAAGGATAGTAGTAGAACAGAAGGGCACTGGGGCCAGACTATCTGTGTTAAATCGCACCCCAGATCTACAGGTTACCAGCTTCAAGACTCAGACAAGTTATTTAACCTCTTCGTATCTTGTTTTATCCTGTGTGTGATTGGGATAATATTAATACTAATCTATATGAATGCTTTGAAAATTAAATGAATTAGTTCATGTAAAACATAACTGCACCTTGCAATAGAAACACTCCTAATAGTAAACATCAGGTATTATTAGTTATAATAATATGAAATACAAAGCATTTCTCCCATTTCTAGTGAACTTGTGAAGCCTGAATGTGGGAATCAACTGATTTTTGAGCTGAAGAGAAAGGTGACAGGTAAAAACCATGGTTGTTTAGACCATAGGTGATACCTGCTGCATGGTAATTTGCTAGAGACCAGAAAGGCCTATCTAGCTGAAATACAAAAGGAAATCTTCAATCAGTCAAGCACTTATAAGTCTCACCCAGCTTTGTCCTCATGAAATAGTGCTATTTATTGCACAGACTATGTGCCCTTCTGACAATAAGTAACAACTTTTATAGGACAGTTTCATCTCTGCTTAGCAAGCCACAGTAACATGCCCACACCCTCTCACCTGCACAGCTCTGGACAATCATTTGCCCCAATGTTTCTGACTGGTCTATGCTCAATTAACAACAGAGGGCTAGGCGACATTTAGAGCTAGGACTGCAGCTGGGCCAGCACTGAGATCTATCTGACATCATGCTGTGCTGAAAGGTGAGAAAAGGCAGGTGAACACGAGGCAGGCCTTCATCTTGAAGAACTGATACAGGAACAGATTGTCAAGGCAGGAACCCAACACCTAGCTGGGTACAGAGTAGGAGTATAATCTCAGGTGTGTGGGAGAATCTGAGCTGTCAGCTTGACTGGCTGGTCAAGCAATAGTGGAGACTACCCTCCTGCAGTGATGTGGTAGAGACAGAAATTTCCATTCTGCTCAACTTAAGGTCTGGCTGAAGTCCAGAGGTCGGGGTGGTCCTGAGTCCATATCTGGGCTCAAGTTCTGCTGGCAATGGAAGGAGGTAGAAACCAGGCAAGGCTTGTGACCTGCTCATGCCTTCTCTGACTGATTCCTAGGCAATCACAGCCTGCCCTGCAGGTTTACTTTCTTGCCCCATGCAGAGACCCCCACATCTTGCTCAAATCAGTGGATGTGACAGAGCTTTCACTTTTGATCTTCCTGAGTTCTTCTCATTCTTTCATACTCATACTGTGCCTTCTTACCATAGGTTCCTGTGGTTACTTTTATGTGGCAACATGGCTAGACTGGGACGTCCAGTTGTCTGGTCAAATAGTAGTCTACATGTTGCTGTGAAGGTGATTTTAATGTGATTAATATTTACAAAGTAGACTATGAGTAAAAGGGATTGCTCTCTAGAATGATGGTAGGCCTTATCCAATCCATTGAAGGCCTAATGAAGAAAAGACTGAGTTTTGCAGACAAAAGAGGCAATTCTGCCTCACACTGAAAACATGAAAACTCTGCCTGAGTTCCCCACCTGCCAGTCTGCCCTACAGATATTAGATTTGTCAACTCCCATAATGGCCAATTTCTTAAAATCCCAATCTCTCTCTGAGATCCATATACATATATGCATACCTATATCTGATAGCTATCCCTTTCTATCTATAATCTATCATCTATTCATTCACATATATCTTGTTTCTCTAGAGAATTCCAAATCTCTACAGGAGCTAATTTTTGGCAGCAAATGCAAACACATTTTTAACCAAACAGGAATTTTTTCAGTGAAAAACATTCTATCCATTTATCTGACAGAGTTATTTAAAAATATATACTTTGTTCAACTTTGCTGCTTTTCATTAATTTGCAGCTTCACAGGTTTGCAACAGGGTCTTGCTTTCTGGTACGCTGACATTAAAATGAATGTTTACTTTTAAAGAAGTCATTACATCCCTAGCCAACCATTGCTAACTGCAGCCATTCCAGGTCTCCTACATCTTAAATGGCTCAAAGAGGTACCTATGGAAACAATCAATCGCCCATTAAAACCAGTCACCGGGACCTGTGCAAACCAGAATAATTGCACTTGTTCATCAGCTTGTGATGCCCAACTGAGGGAGCCGGAATTTCATTTTTACTTCTGCTTTTTCTTAGCTTTGGCTTTTGGAAAATACAGAAAAACATAGGATGCTACCATCAGCCTCAGGAACATGCTGCAAATCCTAGAGCATCTTCACTTTCAAAGAACCTCTCCCAGAGGGATTTGAAAGCCAGGCATCTCCTTTGTGTACCCTACTACACACCCCAAACTCCAGGCTAAGGGGTGGCAGCTGGGGGTGGTTTTCAGGCTAAAGCACAAGGCAGGGTTTTCCTTCCTTGGAAAATGAGAGTGTTTTGTTGTTTTAAACTTCACGTCCATGCTCACATAGGACACTTCCCTTGCCTGCCTCCCAGACAGTGGGCACATTGAAGGCAAACATAAACTGAACTTAAACGCCTATGAAACAAATTTCTAACGACCACCCTTTAGTAGATAGACTCATACTTTATTTTGACAAAATTAGGATAGAAAAATACCACAATGTGAATATAACCTTGGCTCTTTTTGTAACATGGGTTGTGATGTGCAGGGCGACATGGAACAGATTGTTTCTGTCTGGGCTTCAGTTCACACTGAAGTAGAGCTCAGTCACTGCGTTTGCTTGAGCGACTATTGGACACAGCAAAACTGGTTTTAGACAGGGCTGTGGCATTCAATAATATATATGACAAACCAGTGAACCCAAAAAACTTTTTAAATAGCTTTATAATGACTAAAAGTCAACTCCTTTATTAAAGCTACTTAGATTTTCAAAATAGCTTTAACACACTAATAAATATGTAAGAATAATAGAGCACATATTGAAAAACAAGTGAAAATTATAGTAAACATGATATATCAATGTCTATAAACAGTAAACATTGATTCAGTGTGTAGATAGATGTCATTTCAAGAATCTACTCTTTACCCAGCTGGCCATAAAAACTGCAGTTCTAACTATCATCAAAATGCACCCTGTATGTAACCTCTGAGCTTATTTCAAGCTGTCATTTCTATACTCCATCTTTGGAAAGAGGGGCGCTTAGTACATGCAGATATTTGATTATGGTTATACGGACAAAATAAAATGTGCCAGGAGTCTGCAGCTCAAACTGCTGCCTTACATTGTGAAGCACCTGCACATTCTTTTGTCTCCGATGCTTCAGGTAAACTCATGCTAAATAATTCATGTCAGTGCTAATTTTGTTGCTGTAGTCCCTTTGAGCTTCTATCTTTGCTTCCTTTCCCCACTCCTCAAAGAATAAAATCGGATGGCTCCTCATTAAAATACGTCATCTGTAACATATAAAATAAGTGTATGTACATATATACATTATATGCATTTCCTTTTCAAGGACTGGGTAACTCCTCATTTTCTATCAAATATTCCTTCTTCATATACTTGGTTCCCCTAACTAACCTCCACACTTCGAGGTAGGCGTCCTTCAAGGACTTCTTGCTCATTTCTTCTGAGGTCTGAGAGCTCCTAACCGCCAGCGGGACTCCTCTGGGGCTGCCCCCTGCCTCTCCCCTGCCCTGCTGAGAGGAGCCACCTGCTGCCTTCCCACCTTCTGACCCACCATTTCCACCCTCTGCTGGCAGCTCCTCCATGACAAACGGCAGCTGGTCTCCACTTGGCTGAGCCTCCTCTCCCGTGGGCTGCGTCTCCAAGTCCTCGTACTTGCTTTGCTTTCTGGTCTCCAAGAACTTGGCCACACAGTAAATGATGGAGCCCAGGGTGTTCACCACGACGCCGGCAATGAAGAGAGAGGTGGGCTCCACGTCGCTGAAGGCCACCATGCCCACGGTGATGGTGGCGATGCTCTTCACCACGCCCACGAAGCTGGTGGTCACGGCGGAGTTGATGTAGGTGCAGTGCAAGGTGGTGAAATTCATGGCGCAGCCGATCAGGATGCAGGCCAAGAAGATGCAGACCATGGCCGGGTCCTTCCAGCCCGGGAAGGTCCAGGCGTGGATAGAGTCGGTGCTAGCGAAGGAAAAGACTATCAGCAGCGGGGTGGCAGAGACCGCGATGACATACTGCGCGGTGAGCGGCCCGTGCTCGGTGTCGGCGCTCGCCTTCTGGATGAGCACCAGGTAGGCGGCGTGCACCAGCACCGCCAGCACGCCCGTCACATACCCGATGGGGTCGCCGGTCAGGTCGCCAGCTCCTGGAGCGCGCAGGAAGACGAACACCCAGGCAGGGAGGAGAAAGAGAAGACAGCGAGTTGAGGGGTGGGGGTATCTACTGCGGGCAAGTCATAGGCTTGGAGAGTGGCCCTGGTTCGCGCCCCTGTTCTGCCCACTAGTCAAAATCGGGAATGCAAGCCCAGTCAATGCCCAGCGCAAGGCAGGAGAAGAGGCGCCTTCTTTGCCCTGTCCTCGGGGCACCCTGCCTAGCTCTGGCCGCAACAAGGCCCCCCCCCCGCCCCCCGAGAGAGCAAATGCCCTCGGGGCAGGTGCGTGGCTTCTCGGGGCTGGCACAAAGGTCCATGAAGGGCCCGTGGGACCCCGATACCCCCTTCCCGTCGGGGGACGCCGGAAGGAAGAGGGAGCCCCAGCTAGTGGCTTCTAAGCGCGCAGGGCTGACCAAGGTTGAACAAGCCCCCCTTCACCCCGCCTCGGAAAGGTTCCCCACCCGCGGGCTTCCATCTCCCTCAGTTTCGCCCAACCCCGAGCGCAGGTGGGTCTCAGTTCGCCCCCTTCTGCCTCGCGCCGCCACCCGCACCCCCGCGCGGGACGAGAGACCCCAAACTAGCTCGGGCGGCCCAAGCCGTGTTCCCATCGTTCCCTCCCCCCAACTCACACCAGCCCCGCGTGACCCCAGGAAGTTCGCGGCCCCCCTCCTTCCGGCTCGGGCTAGGTTCGAGCCGGGAGGACTCCGGCCCGGGCTCGGGCGCGCTCGCCACCTCTCTCCGAGGAGGACGGAGTGTCGGGGGGTGCGGGAGTAGAGCGGGACGGGGAAGGGGTCCGCGGTGCGGCTGGGGTGCGGGTGGAAGCCTGGCCCCGGGTCGGGGTGAGGCCAGAGTGCCGGGAAGGCTCGACTGGGTCCCACACGTGCCGTTGGCGAGCCGCGCGTTCAAAGCTCTCCGCCTCTGCGCCTCCGTCTCCCCTTCTGGAAGTGAGGGCGTTGTCCTAAGTGCCCCCCGCGGTCTCTGCCCGGTGGGGAGGGGTGGGCCGGGGGTCGGCGCGGGTTCCGCTCACCTGCCAGCGCCGCGCCGCAGGTGGTGATGAGCACGGCGGCGAGCACCCCCGGCGAGGGCGCGCCGTTCTTGAGCACCAGGACGCCGATGAGCATGGTGACCAGGGGCAGGCAGCGCTTGAAGACCACGTACATGGGCAGGCTGAGGCCGCGCAGGGACCAGAGCGTGAGGCTGGACTGCAGCGTGGAGAGCACCGCCACCCCGGCGAAAGAGCGCGCCAGCCTCAGGCCGAAGGGGGGCACGGCGATGAAGCCCAGGCGCCGCAGCAGCTCCAGGCTCAGCGCCGCGGTGGAGCTGGTCAGGCACTGCACCAGGGTCAGGAAGGTGAACTGGTAGCGGCTGATGAGGAACTTGAGCAGGATGTTCAGGGAGCCCGAGAAAACCCCGTGCGCGATGGCCACCGAGATACCCAGCACGCGCCCCCGGCACAGCCGCCGCATCGCGCCGGCCCCGCGGCCCCCGGCGGTGGCGAAGCTCGGGGATCTGCGGGCGGGAGCGCAGAGGGGAGCCGGGAGACGCCGAGCGAGGGCGGCGGGGGTGCCCGCCCCACGCCGCGGCGAAGGGCAGGGGGCGCCGGCTCGGCCGCGGAGGGCAGCTCCAGCCGGGCGTCCTCGCTGCCAGGCGGCTCCGCGTCCGACTACCCCGCGGCGCGCGGGAGGCAGTGACGGGGGCGGGGGACTCCGAAAAGTGGCAGGGGTGGGGGGGCTGGTCTGAGAGGAGTGGCGGGAATCCTAGCGACAGCGATTTGTAAGTAGGTGACGAGCCACGATGGGTTGTGTCCCGCGCGGCTGCACCGTCAGGGAGGCGCCCTGCGCAGGGAAGCTCCGACGACCGCTGCGCGCGGGCCGGACCCCGCTCCCGCCACGCCAAGCGCGCTCCTTGGCCGGCTCTCGGGGCAGGGCCCGGTGCTCCAACAGCGCCGGCAACCCTTGCTTGCTCCCCTTCCTTCTGTTTCTGAGTCGAGGGGCGCGTTGGTTGGCGGGGTGGAGAGAATCCCCGCCATAGCTAAAGATTTTAGAAACCAAAGCGCTCCTGGGACAAGCACATGTATTAGCCGCAACCAGGCAGTGCCCCCAGCCTCCCTCCTCCGAGTTGGTCTTGCAACCCACGGTTCCTCCCGCCACCCCTAGTCCAGCTGCCAGGGGAGGGAAAACGCTGGTGCCGGGAGAGCTGAGCTGCCGGGCGTGTTCCTGATTCCGGCGCCAGCGCCGGGACGTTGAAGGAGCCCACGGTCCCGGGCGTGCACGGGCGCAAAGACCAGCCCCATAGTGTCACCAGCACAGGGCGCCCCTGTCCTAGAGCCTTCTAGGAAGGAGCCTGGGATTACGCCCCGCCGCTCCGGGGGAGCCCCCCGGGACGCCAAGGGCTGGTGGGGTTGCGGAACCTGGGGGTGGCTGCAGACGCAGACGCTTGAAGTGCGGCAAGGATGGGAAATAAGCAAAAGGGCAGAGACCACGGTCTGGACTGAGAAGCCTCCACGGTCCCGGAGTTCCAGAGCAGCGCTGCCGGCCGGGGAGTGAGCCCGGAGGAACTGGCGGCGTCGCGGGGCGGGGGGAAGCAGGAGAGGCGGGTGTGGCCGGGGTAGGAACTCCCGGCCTAGACGGTGTAGACTCGGGGCAGCGGTCTCCACATCCTCGGAAACCTAACGCAGGCTCCAGGGCCGTCGTGGGTCGACTTGGGGGGCAGGACAACCCCTGCTGGGAAGGGGTTGACAACCTTCCTCTGGCCAGGGCACGTCTGCGCCCCACTTTACTTCCCATTTAGCTAAGAGAGCAGCTCCAGCCAGGCGGAGCTCAAGACTTCGGTGACCCTTTCTTTGATCTGAATATCGTTCCCTAGAACGCAACGCCCGGATCCGTAAATTCAGCATCAGCAAAGGGGTTCCATCAGCCGAGGTCACCGCCAGAGCTACAGTTTTGTGCTACCTAAAATTTTGGGGGAGAGACATGAGAGGGAGAGATATGAGGGAGAGAGTTGGAGAGTTGGAAATAACAATTTCCAACAGGGATGGCAGCATAACTGTTGCCTTTCTTCCCGGCCAGCTTGGTACCTGCTGGTTGCACTCTTTAGCGACCAACCCGCCAGCTCGTGTGCAGAGCGCCAGGCGGGTCCACTTCCCTGTCCCTGACTGGTGGGCACTAAAGAAAATGCTTTGGAATTGGCCCACAGTGCCAGCTTTCCAGGAATGACACGGAAAGCATCCTGAAAACCCATGCTTCCCTTTCCACAGGGAATCATGGTTTTTGTTGCTAAAAGCTGTAATTGCACGCTATTGACTATTCCGGGGACTCTTTTTTCAATTGTTGATGTTCTTCCTTTAGGAGATAATGAAATCTGAAGAAACAATTGTAATTATGTGTATGTAAGTGTGGTGTGAACATACATTTAAAATATACTCACAAAAACCTTGAAAATGAACTTTTTAAAGACATCAGCAAATAACGTATCTGCTTCTGGGGATCATTCCAATTAGAGCCATCCTAAGTGACTATTATAAAGAACTGTCTGCACAGACCTAGTTTTGGAGTGATTCATTTCTACCAGTAATTATAATTGCTTCCATTTGTGATACTAACATTAAGTAAAAGATTTGGGGCTGATTCAGCTCTCTTACCCTTCTCATTTAGGCAAGAAATTTAGCTTAATATTTGAAACCTACACTGGCATAAAAGAGTACATTTTCTATATTTTATTGCATATAATTTTTTCCCATTAGGGCTTTATTTAAAAAAAAGTTAATACTTTCTCCCACACCAGTTACTAGATAAGTTCCTAGGGAAAAATCAGAAAAATAAAGATACTATGTTTAGCAAGATTAATGGAACAAGAAGATAGACATGACGGTTAAAAAGCTATTTGATCTACAGGCAACAAGATACTAAGGTCTACACTCAAGCTCCATTATCTTTGGAGCTACTCAGTAAATCTGGATGGTATTCAATAAATCATTTGGTTCATTCATCCAGCAGAGCAAGTACTTTGTGCCAGGCAGTGTGTTGGCCACAGAGGACTCCAAGATAAGCACACATCTTAATTGTTAAAGGTTCACAGTGGAGGTGAGATGACTTGATGAGCTCACTGGGGTCTTCTTGTAGCAGAAAAGGGAACAGCAAGGATAGCAATAAAACCATCTTGAGGGGAGGAGGTTTCCTGGACAAGCACATGCATTGCAGCTAGGTTATCTCTTTCAAATAAAGGCCTATTAAATAAGAAATTATTGAGTTCATTTTTGAATGAGCCAAATTATAGTCAAGACTTACAGTTGAAAAGGTGCCAAAGCCAGAAGGGACTGCTGGCTCTCAGTCTGGATCTTCTGGGACCTGTGGTAAGGTCACTTACTTTTTAGCTCTGTAGACTTGGAAACTCAATTTTATTAATACTCTTAGGAATGATCAGGATCTAGTCACCAGAGTTCCACATCTTTACTAGCCCTCAGTGGATCAACTTTTATTGTTTCTAAGAAAAGGAGGCCTTGTGGCATGGCATAGGTTTACGCACTCACACAGATTTCAAATGCCAGCTCCATTACTTCCCAGATATTGTAACTCCTTAGAGGCTGTTTCCTTGTCTGGAAAAGTGGGTAGGCTTCCTTGCAAGCATATTATAAAGATGAAAAGGGGTATCATGGGCCTCTCTGGTGGCGCAGGGGCTAGAGACAGAGCTGTGAAGCTCTCACCAGCCAGTGCAACATGAGTTCGATCCCTGGTCAGCCAGCCAGGGAGCAACCCTCATGGTGCAGCAGACCTCTCCTGTCTCCCCACTGAGCCCCTCATCTGTGTATTTCAGGCAATCAGCCTGTTCTGCTCCCCATTCTGTCTCTGGTGAATCCTCTCACTCCCCGCATCTATGGTCTATACCCCAGTTCTTGTATGCACAAATAAATAAATCTTAAAAAAAATAAAAAGGGATAACATGCAAAAAGCATCTTACAGGGAGTCCAGACCCCAGAAGATGCTCAGGGCTGTAAGACCCCTGCAGATGGGGGAAGAGCTGGGAAGATGACAGGAGAGAGCTCAGAGCTCAGCAGCCTGGAGATTAAGGCTGGTTTTCCAATCTGGAGGGAATGACTGGTTGTCCTCTTAAAAGTCCAGAGGCTGTTTATGAACTACCAATATTAAAAACCTTGATCATTCTCTTTCAGGATCATATCCATTTCCCTTTTTTCTAGTTTCTCAACCTTAGCTCCAGGGAACCCAGTGAGTAAGTGTTCACCCACACTCTTTCACATTGATAGACTTTAAGAACTTGAATTAAGTATTATGAAGTTAATATCTCCAAACATCTCTGTCTGAAAAAGAGGGAAAAATAAATCAAGGAGATACTAGTTTTTAAATCACAAGTATTTGTTTCAAAGCATGTATGATAGGTTATTTTGTTAATAAAATCTCTTGCATTCTAAAAAGAAAATGTTATTTTGTTTCATTGTAAATAAGATCTGGGTTAAGTATTTTAAAAGATCTATTAGAAATCCCATGATACAGAGAACACCCACTGTGAACCTGCTTTTACTGAACTGCACTGGGGATGATGCCACCAGTTCACATGGAGGGAAACAACAGAAACAGCTCTAGGAACCCATCATTGTGACAGCTCTAAGGATATGGTGAGATCCTTGTTCCTTACAATATACTATTGTTAAGAAGTGTTTTATTTTGGAGGGTTTCTAAATAACAATTAAAATTGATGACCTCAGAACTAAAAAGAATTGCATTTTCCCTAAGATTATTCATTTATTCATTCAAAAATATTTATTGAGCACCAATATGTGCTCATGTGCTCCAAAGGTGCTAGGGCCATGCCTATTTGGCTCTAGGACAAAGTCCTCAACTTCAGGTCTGGGTATGAATTCTGTGCCTCACCAAGCATCCCAATTAACCTGCCAGTAGCCACTTTCTAGGACTCTGAGGCCTATATTTTCAAACCTCACTCCCAGCTCTACTTCATGTCTCCTGTTCTATTTTTTATAATGATTATTTTTGTACTTTCTCTTAATTGTTTCTAGAACAAATAAAGAGGTATATAATATGCAATTTCCTTCATTCTGATTAAAATTCTCAAAAACTTGTTAAAAATTTAATAATTTATGTTATTTTTCACAGTGACTAGTCTTTAAAAAGTATGATAGAAAGGTGAGAAAAAATAGAAATATAGGGTTCTGGGTAGAATATCTAAAAAGCTTTGAATAACTACGTATGCTCTTAACTTATCTTAAAGAATGGCACCACGTTCTTGAATCATCAGTTTTTCTGTCAAGCATATAGTAGATGCTCAGTGAATAACTGCTAAGTAAAGTAAATTTATACTAGAGTCTTGTGTTCATACCTATACTATATTTTAAAAGTAATCTTGTTGGGGATGCCACAAAATGATAAATGATTAAGAGATGTAGTTTATTTTTCTCAATAGCAGTTATTATGATTTACATAAAAATGACAAATTAAAAATGAAATATTTCACTATCAATATAATCTGTGGGTCTTCCATAATTTAATCCATTTTACAATACAGAGATTAACAGACACTACAAGATAAACCATAACATTAATTATTTCTTAGGATTTTAAGACGTATGGCTTAAGTATCAGGCTTAAATAGTGAAGAAAGTCTTTATCAGCTGCCTCAAAATGGATTGC